CCCTGAGCTCCATCCCCCCATTGCCATCCCCCATTCCCATTCCCGTTCCCCTCCCCCGTTCCCACCCGGAATCTGCTCCCGTCTCTCCCTGGAGCTGTTCCGCTGCTCCGGGGCCGCTCCCGGTGGCCGCCTGCACCGCCCGCTCCAGCAGCTCCAGCCACCTGCGAATCCAACGGGAATAATCCCAAATTCCCAATGGGAATAATCCCCAACGGGAGCTCCAGCAGCTCCAGCCACCTGCGAATCCAACGGGAATAATTCCCAATGGGAACAATCCCAAATTCCCAACGGGAATAATCCCCAAAGGGAGCTCCAGCAGCTCCAGCCACCTGCGAACAATTCCCAACTGGAATAATCCCAAATTCCCAACGGGAATAATCCTGAATTCCCAACTGGAATAATCCTGAATTCCCAACTGGAATAATCCTGAATTCCCAACGGGAACAATCCTGAATTCCCAACGGGAATAATCCCGAATTCCCAATGGGAACAATCCCCAACGGGAGCTCCAGCAGCTCCAGCCACCTGTGAATCCAAACGGGAATAATGGGAACAATTCCCAACGGGAACAATTCTCAATGGGAATAATCCCGAATTCCCAACGGGAACAATCCCCAACGGGAGCTCCAGCAGCTCCAGCCACCTGTGAATCCAACGGGAATAATCCCAACGGGAATAATCCCAAATTCCCAACGGGAATAATCCCAAATTCCAACAGGAATAATCCCAAATCCCAACGGGAACAATCCCCAACGGGAGCTCCAGCAGCTCCAGCCACCTGCGAATCCAAATGGGAATAATGGGAACAACTCCCAACGGGAACAATTCCCAACGGGAGCTCCAGCAGCTCCAGCCACCTGTGAATCCAAATGGGAATAATCCCAAATTCCCAATGGGAATAATGGGAACAATTCCCAACGGGAACAATTCTCAATGGGAATAATCCTGAATTCCCAACGGGAACAATCCCCAACGGGAGCTCCAGCAGCTCCAGCCACCTGCGAATCCAAATGGGAATAATCCTGAATTCCCAACTGGAACAATCCCAAATTCCCAACGGGAATAATCCCAAATTCCCAACGGGAGCAATTCCCAATGGGAACAATTCCCAACGGGAGCTCCAGCAGCTCCAGCCACCTGTGAACAATTCCCAACGGGAATAATGGGAACAATTCCCAACGGGAACAATTCTCAATGGGAATAATCCTGAATTCCCAACGGGAACAATCCCCAACGGGAGCTCCAGCAGCTCCAGCCACCTGCGAATCCAAATGGGAATAATCCTGAATTCCCAACTGGAACAATCCTGCACCGCGCGCTCCAGCAGCTCCAGCCACCTGCGAACAATTCCCAACTGGAATAATCCCAAATTCCCAACGGGAATAATCCTGAATTCCCAACTGGAATAATCCTGAATTCCCAACTGGAATAATCCCAAATTCCCAACGGGAATAATCCTGAATTCCCAACGGGAGCAATTCCCAACGGGAACAATTCCCAACGGGAGCTCCAGCAGCTCCAGCCACCTGCGAATCCAAACGGGAATAATCCCAAATCCCAACTGGAATAATCCCAAATTCCCAACTGGAACAATCCCCAACGGGAGCTCCAGCAGCTCCAGCCACCTGTGAACAATTCCCAACGGGAAAAATGGGAACAATTCCCAACGGGAACAATTCCCAACGGGAGCTCCAGCAGCTCCAGCCACCTGTGAATCCAAACGGGAACAATCCCAAATTCCCAATGGGAATAATCCCCAACGGGAGCTCCAGCAGCTCCAGCCACCTGTGAATCCAAATGGGAATAATCCCAAATCCCAACTGGAATAATCCTGAATTCCCAACGGGAATAATTCCCAACGGGAACAATCCCCAACGGGAGCTCCAGCAGCTCCAGCCACCTGCAAACAATTCACAACGGGAATAATCCTGAATCCCCAACGGGAGCTCCAGCAGCTCCAGCCACCTGCGAATCCAAATGGGAATAATCCTGAATTCCCAACGGGAACAATTCCAAATTCCCAACTGGAATAATCCCAAATCCCAACGGGAACAATCCCCAACGGGAGCTCCAGCAGCTCCAGCCACCTGTGAATCCAAACGGGAATAATGGGAATAATTCCCAATGGGAATAATCCCAAATTCCCAATGGGAATAATCCTGAATTCCCAACAGGAAAAATGGGAATAATTCCCAATAGGAACAATCCCGAATTCCCAATGGGAACAATCCTGAATTCCCAATGGGAACAATCCCAATGGGAAAAATTCCCAACGCGAATTCCCAACGGGAACGATTCCCAGCGGGAATTCCGGCCTGGAAATTCCAGCCAGGAACTCCAGCCCAAGAATTCCAGACGAGAATTCCAGCCCTTCCCAGGGAATTTTCCAGCCCTTCCCGGGGATTTTCCAGCCTTTCCCAAGGATTTTCCAGCCTTTCCCAGCGAATTTTTGGGCTCATCCCAAGGGATTTTCCAGCCTTTCCCGGGGATTTTGTCCCCCAAGGATTTTCCAGCCCTTCCCGGGAATTTTCCAGCCCTTCCCAGGGATATTCCAGCCTTTCCCAGGGATTTTCCAGCCTTTCCCAGGAATTTTCCGGCCCTTCCCGGGTTTTTTCCGGCCCTTCCCAGGAATTTTCCGGCCCTTCCCAGGGATTTTCCAGCCTTTCCTGGCGAATTTTTGGGCTCATCCCAAAGGATTTTCCGGCCCTTCCCGGGGATTTTGTCCCCCCAGGAATTTTCCAGCCTTTCCCAGGAATTTTCCGGCCCTTCCCAGGAATTTTCCAGCCCTTCCCAAGAATTTTCCGGCCCTTCCCGGGGATTTTCCAGCCCTTCCCAGGGAATTTTTGGGCTCATCCCAAGGATTTTTGCTCCCCCAGGAATTTTCCAGCTCATTCCCAGGAATTTTCCAGCCCTTCCCAGGAATTTTCCAGCCCTTCCCAGGAATTTTCCGGCCCTTCCCGGGAATTTTCCAGCCCTTCCCGGGGAATTTTTGGGCTCATCCCAAGGATTTTTGCTCCCCCAGGAATTTTCCAGCCCTTCCCGGGAATTTTCCAGCCCTTCCCGGGAATTTTCCAGCCCTTCCCGGGAATTTTCCAGCTCATTCCCAGGAATTTTCCAGCCCTTCCTGGGAATTTTCCGGCCTTTCCCAGGAATTTTCCGGCCCTTCCCAGGAATTTTCCGGCCCTTCCCGGGAATTTTCCAGCCCTTCCCGGGGATTTTTGGGCTCATCCCAAGGATTTTTGCTCCCCCAGGAATTTTCCAGCTCATTCCCAGGAATTTTCCAGCCCTTCCCAGGAATTTTCCAGCCCTTCCCAGGAATTTTCCGGC